CAGGAATTATTAACGATAATTTTTTATGCATCTTACTCCGCTATTCCAGAACCATATAATAAATCTTTTGCAGACAAGAAGCTTCTTTGATTATAAATTATCCTCTTTTCGATAAAATCGTGCATTGTGTAACCTCCTACGCTTAATAGGTTTCTTCAGTTTTATTTAAAAGTTTTATTTAAAAATAAAATTTAAAGTATACGGAGTAACGATATTAGTGAAATAACTCATACAGCACGGAAGCTTGCAATAATATTGCTGCAACATTTGTAATGTTACTGTAATATTGTTGAAATAATCCCTGCTGTAGGAAGCTCATCTTCTTTAACTCTTCATTCGCGAGTATTTTCAGGACATACAAATTTGTTAAATATATGAATACTATTTATATTACACATTATTATATTTAGCGCTAATTGTTTCACAATTTAAAAAATAATTTTTTGTGTTTATCTTTATCTAAAGGATGTATAGAATATTATCAGTCTTTATTTAATTACCAAAGAGAACAATGAAAATTGAGATTTAATCAAGTTGGAGTGTCAGAAACACATCCCACGTGAATAATTACATTTAAAAAAATCATGTGAGTAATGTAAGATTAAAAAGACCCCCAATGTTCGTGCAAATGTCGAACCCGAGACTACGTCTGTATCACTCTTTCTCACAATTAATAAATGGATATGACGACACACAGTGGCTGCAAAGTTCTTTCGATCTTGAAATATTTTCCACTTTTATGACACGCAATTGCTACAATATTCAATACAACACGCGTTTCTTTCTAAGCGGCTTGTGGGGATTTCGATTATTTGCAATAAAGGTATTGTGATAGAGAATTGCAAAAGTTACGATGTGCGTTCTTCCGAAGGAAAGAGAAAAAAATATCAAATTACGCTTAAAAAGGAAATTGAATTTCCTGAGTTGCGTTTATACATACTTTTAACAACCAGATATGTGCGCCAGTAGAGACGCTCGAAAGTGGTTGACCTTCAAGTGCCACGTCGATGATCCTAAAGACTGATGAAATTCACCGCAGTACATCTTTAAATTTTCAGAGGCAGTACATAATCTATCTTGCTTGTCTAAATTTTAACTGCCCTTGTTGAGAATTAGACTCTGAAACCCCCTCCTTCCGGGTAATAAATCATGTCTGTGAAGCTGGACCCCCCACGATCGAAAATCAAGTTCGGAATAGGTCAAAAATTTAGTGCTAATTTTTTTTACCGCTAAACGGTTGGAGCACTAAATTTCGGACTAGAGTACTAAATTAGCACCTAATTAGCACTAAATTTTGGACCTATTCCGAACTTGATTTTCGATGGTGGAGGGTCCAGCTTCACAGACATTAATAAATCCACGTTTACTCTACATTTGCTCTCAAATGAAAGTCGAATTCGTACCAACTTTCAATTGTAAATCCAAAAATTTTTCATATATATGTTGATTATTTTTGAAGGATGTATTATACCTATTTCTACAAATGCGTTGATATTCATACTTTAAATAAACTATATACATATGAAAGTTGTGTTTGTTAACAATTTTATAGTTTTTTTGAATAACACGTTTTTGTCGTTTTATTTTATTTGATATTATTTTTATCATTATAAATTTAAATTAAAAAATAACAATGACAAAGTACTTGTATTAAAAAATTGAGATTTTTATCATTATTTTATAATACATTTTTATTGGAGCACAGATTAAAAAAATAGTATTTCTTATTTTGAAATAACTTTTGATCCAGATAATGAACAGTAGCTAAATTTTTTATTATTTTTAAATGCGATCTAAAATAAGCTGAAATTTTTCAATAACTTTCTCATTATTTTGAAAATACGTGTAACACATCCTTAAATTATTTATGTTGATGTTGGATTGGATTTTTTTAAGAAGATAAATTTTAACATCGTATCTCATTTTCATACTTTGTATCTTATAAATTTATTTATGTATTTTTATGATGCTCCTAATAGCAATTTCTTAATTACCACAATGAGCGCAATTACTCGCGAAAGTAGCGAGTTATTGAATTGAGTTATGGAATTGAGAACTCAGGTGATACTTTGTTTATCATTTTGTTGTTGCACGTATTTTTCAATGTTTACGACCGCGATTCAACTGCGTGCGCTATTTGCTCAATGTACCGAAACTAAATATTTGACTCTGACGCGGAGATTGAAACGGTCAAAAGTTCTGCAGTCATTATCGAAATTGCCGTTACGACTGCTTTGTTTATGAACGGCTCTTCGTGTTTTCGTTCTTCGTCGGATTTTATCAAAGAAATATAATTTCCCGAAGAGTGACGAAACTCCGACATAAACCTTTTATGACTATTTAATGTTAATGAGCAGTATATTCTGGATACAGTTTATTCTGGAGATTCGTCTTATCTCAAGATTGAGTTCATATTCTCTCTTCTAAACTTAAGATAATCATTTTTATTCTACGGTAAAAATGAAAATTTACAAAAAATGAATTATAAGAGTTACAATAAAACTATCTTTTATAATATTCACATTTTAATTGTTTTTATTTAGGATAATTGATTTGTCAGAAATTAATACGAAATATTTTAAAATTGGGAACCTCAATATATTTTTATTACTAATGTAGACATGATATCGCGTTTATAAATTTTTATGAAGGCACAGATGATGGATTAAAAAATTAAATTGTTTTGCATGTAGCTATGATATTAATAATTCATTGTATTTTCAAGCTTTATTTTTTACGAATTAAAAAATATATTTTAAGCAATAAACTTAAAATGTATTCTTTTAATAATCAATAAGCTTAAAAAATTCTACTTAATATGAATTTTTTGATGAAAAACATAAAATAAAAATATTTTTATCGTTAAAAATCTTTTTGACGATTGTCTATTCTATTGACAAGTCTATTCTAAAAATTAGAAAAAGATAAGTAAATTAAACTGAGATTAAAATTAATCTTACATTGGTGGAACTGGCCTGAATCTATTGGCCTTTCTGCTCTTTAAGTTTTTTTCTTTTCAAATATATACCTACACAAAAGATTTTTTGGAGTTAGGTAGATGCGTACAGATCGTAACATTCCATTGATGTAGGTCACAATCATGGCTGCTTTTTAACTGTTCCACTAGAAATGAACTGGTTTTTTGCCAGAGATCTCACTATCCGGAGATTCGATTGCCACTATTAAAATTGATATTTTCTTGTTCAGCTCTTTCTGTTAAAAAAATTTCTTCTGCAAAAAATCGATGCGCGTATTCAAAAAATGATCATCAAAATTTAAAAGTGATTAGCCCAAGATTTATTTCATCTGCCGGAAAACCGGAAATTTGTTCAAAAAGCCAGAGCCTCCGGTTGAAAGAACAGAGAAATAGCAACCGTATTCATAACATTCCATGCCAGTGATTCATATACTAAAACTTGAGTATAATTGTCCGAGTCGAACGACTTCTTTAACGTTCCGTGACTTCGTAATTTTTTTCTAAACTCGAAGTAGAATTCTAGAAATATATTTTTCAATAAGTATATAAACTTTTAAGTAACACAAACAAGTTAATTTTTTTATCTCTCATTCTGATATGCTTCTTTAACAACGTAATTGCATTTATTTTACAATTAATTACTCTTGCTAATTGTGGAATTTATCAAGTGCGATTTTAATAATTGTGATTTATCAAGATATATTTTTACATTTCATAAGAAGCTTAAGAAGGAAAATACAGCTTTCGAATAGATGAAAGATCGAATAAACGCAAACTGTTTAATCGTTAAGTGGCCGCAATTATTATTTGATTCCCTACAATAGAATTTTTGTTCATGAAAAAATTACGAGCAATAAACAGAAAACATTAATGAAATTATTGAGACTTAAAAATTATAAACATGTGTAATTTCCAAGTTGTATTATTATAATAATTAAAAGTTGTCCGCATTTATTATCACAAGATATATTTCTACATTTCACGGGATAAAATGCTCAAGAATAAGAAGAAGTTGGTTTCTGAATAGACCATTTGTTCAAGAATAAGAAGAAGATGGTTTCTGAATAGACTATGAGCTATATAAATAGACTATTATCTATGTAAATAGACTATTATATAAATAAATTGCATTATTTAAGCAGTTGTAATCATCATTTAATTCTTTATAAAAGGATTTTTTGTTTATGAAAAAAATGACACAAGTGATAAATGGAGAACATTAATAAAATTATTAAGATTAAAAATTTATTATAGATGTATATATGGATGTATATTTGGGCTTCCAAGTCATATATTATTATAATGATTAAAAACCCACATTTATTACATATTTCGCGAGATATTTCTACATTTCATGAGATAATCAAGAACAAGAATACGGCTTCTATAAACAAACATAAGCACTATTTAATTCTTAAAGGGCTATAATCGCATCATCATTCTCTATAATAAAATTTGTTAATTATAGAAAAATTACACAAGCGGTAAATGGAAAATAATGATGAAATTATTCGGATTAAAAAATTATCACATAGAATACATATGGATGTGTAACTTTTAAGTCATATATGGCGTTATAATAATTAAAAGCCGCCCGCATTTGTTATCGCAACCTTGAGCTAATCATTAATGATGCATTTTTAACGACGTTGTAATTACGTATTGGCATAGTTCGATGAGGAGGCGTTGTCTTTGAACAAAGAGACAACTCTGAGGCTTTATTCATGACACGAAATCATCAACTGTGTATACCATTCAGTACTTGTTATCCGAGTCGCGTGTTAAAGTGTAATGTCGATATTTTTGCGTTCAATCGATTGTAAAACGCAGGCCCGAATGCGACAATCA